TTAGCTTCTTGTTAAAGAAGACCCTTCAACTTTTCCTGTAGTGCTGGTTTGGTGGTGATGAACTTCTTTAGCTTTTCTTTGTCTGAGAAGCTCTTTATCTGACCTTCAATTCTAAATGATAGCTTTGCTGGGTAGAGTAATCTTGGTTGTAGTTCCTTGTTTTTCATCACTTTGAATATTTCTTGCCACTCCCTTCTGGCCTGGAAATTTTCTGTTGAGAAATCAGCTGACAGTCCTATGGGTGCTCCCTTGTAGGTAATTAACTGCTTTTCTCTTGCTGCTTTTAAGATTCTCTCTTAGTCTTTAACCTTTGGCATTTTAATTATGATGTGTCTTGCTGTGGGCCTCTTTGGGTTCCTCTTGTTTGGGACCCTCTGTGCTTCCTGGACTTGTAAGTCTATTTCTTTCCCCAGGTAGGGGAAGTTTTCTGTCATTATTTTTTCAAATNCATACTATCTTCATATTTCTGGATTCTTTTTTCTTTTTGCTCTTCTGGTTGGGTGTTTTTTGTTTCCTCGTGTTCCAAATTGCTGAGTTGATTCTCAGCATCCTCTACTGTTGATGCTATGTAAATTATTCTTCATTTCAGTTCGTGTAGCCTTCATTTCAAACTGGTACTTTATTATGTTATAGATTTTTCTCAGTTATTTCTCTAATAGTACGCTTAAACAGCCTTATGAACAAAATTCTGAACTCTGTATCTGTTAACTTGCTTGGATCTATTTCATTTAGTTCCTTTCTAGAGATTTCTTCTGCTNATGTATTAGGTAGAGCTGCTGTGTCTCCTGGAATTGGTAGAGTGGCTTTGTGTAGTAGGTGTCCTGTAGGGTCCAGTGGCTCAGCCTCCCACTCACCTGAGCTGGGCCTTCTAGGTGCTCCCCTGTGTGGGTTGTGTGCACTTGTCCTGTTATAATTGAGTCTTGGTTGCTGTTGGTGTCACTGGGAGGAACTGACCCCCAGACCAATCAGCTGTGAGACCAGCTGCAACTACAGCCAGAGAGCTGCTGTGCTGGAGACACCTGTATGGATCAGGATTTACTTCAGTGGAGCTTTGGTGTTCACCAGGTGCACCCCTTGAATGTGTCACTTGTGGATGTGGTAGGATAGTAATCCAGCGTGGTTGAGTCTGACCACCAGGTACAGTGTCTCTGGGGCCTCCAGGAGGTGTAAAGTCAGCCTTTGCCAGTGCCTTGCCCAGGGCCACCCAGCGTGAGCTACACAGCAAACTGTAGTTAGCTGCTACTTGTGATGGGCTTGGAGGTATCCAGGAGAGGCCAACCCATGAGCCAATGCAGGCTGCCGCTTACCAGGCCGTATTGGGCCTGCTGCTGCTTGTTTGAGAGCTTTTAGGAAATTCCTAAGCATGAGGCCCCAGAGGCCACTTGCACAGAAAAGCCCCTGGAAATAGCCTGGATGAGCCTGGTTGGGAGGGGCGGGGCCGAAGGTGTGAGTCAGGTGCTGGCGATTCAAATATGGCGCCTGCCTGCCGGCTGTGTAGGAGGAGGACTTGCCAAAGGAGCAATGGCCCCTGCCAGGTCTTCTGCCTGGGACAAAGCCACCCCTCCACCTCCCTCCTGGATTCCAGGCAGGTTAGTTCCTCCCCAAGTGTCTCAGGTTCCTTTCAAGCTGCTGCCTGGCTCTGGGGCTCAGAGGGAGCGGGTCTGAGTGAGTCCGTGTACGGGCCCTTTAAGAGTTGCTGCTGGGGCTCCCGCAGCCTCCACGACCCTCAGCGACAGTCCCCACTGGTTTCACAGCCCAGAGTTGTGGGGACGTCTCTTCCCGGCCCTGCAGCCCTGGGCTGGGGTCCTGCCTTGGGCTGGGGTCCCTTTCTCCTTTGGGAAGCCTCTGTCCCTGAGATTCCCTCCCGGGTTTCAACCTCAGTACCAGTTGTGGGCCCGGGGCCGTGTCTCCACCCCTTCTACTGGTCTGGGTGCTTCTTCAGTTCCCTGGTTGTAGGGCTTCTGTTCAGCCAGATTTGAGGAGGCTCTGAGTGATGGTGGGTCTGTATTTTAGTTGTAATTTTGATGTGGTTGCGGGAGGTGGCGGGTGCAGCTATTACCTACGCCACCATCTTGTTTTCCTCCCTCCTCCAAAGGTGTTTTTTTAAGGAGAAGTTTTCAGTGTGATTGAACATCCAGTGTAGAGTGTGCTGTTGCTTGGTGGTCAGGCCGGCAGTGGTCCAGCCTCAGTGCAGACCCTCTGATCCTGTGTCTCAGAAGCGCCTCATTGGCTCCTCTTCCTTTGGCTGCCAAACTCTGCCCCCTGCCGTTGGTGGGTCTTGCTAGGTAGCAGAAGGCCTCCCTTCCTCTGGCCACAGGGGTCTTCTCTGTGCTGGGGTGAGGGGGTGGGGGGTTTGCTGCTCCTGCCCCGCGCTTAGCCTCCTCCACAGGGAGGAGAATCCTGGTGGGACTTTGTGATCCCCCGCACCACCTTTGGCCCTTCTGTTCTCCAGGCTCATACCCCCCCATGGCTGTTCTTGGGCTCCCGCCTGCCCTCAGTCTTTCCCGGGGACCCAGGTGGAACAGATGAATGGACACCCATCCTCTGTCAGCAGCCTCCAGGGATTCCATTTCAGGCCCAGCCCACACTTGGTTAGATTTAGATTTCAGTAAATTCACAGCTGAAATCTTTTCAGCTCGCTCATCCTTGTCTGGTGCCCAGCCTGTGAGTGAGCACTGCCTCCTATCTCCTCAGAGGGCCTGTCATTCTTTGTTTCCAGGCTGCTTGCTTCCCCTTGACTTCAGTTCTCTGCGGGGGTCAACAAAAGATGTGATGTTGTAGCTTACCCAGTTTCTTCTTGTTTGGGGCAGGAATGATGCTCTTCCTGGCTTTCTTTCTGTGTGGCAGTGCAACTCTAGGTGTCATTACATCTGGATGACGATGTCATTAGTTCAAAATCCTCCATCATGCTTCACACAGGACCTGCTCTTGCCACGTACAAAGGGGCAGAGCCACGTGCTCACTCTTTGTAGTTCCTGTGCCAAGGAGATCATTGCTCACAGAGTAATAGAGTACACTAGTTATTAGATTTTTAAAAAATATATTTTTATTTATTTGAGAGAGAGAGAGAGAGAGAGAAACATCAATGATGAGAGTCATTGATTGGCTGCCTCCTGCACGCCCCCTACTGGGGATCGAGCCCTCAACCTGGGCATGTGCGCTGACCAGGAATTAAACCCTGTCCTCCTGGTTCATGGGTTGATGCTCAATCACTGAGCCATTAATGTCACTTCTTTTTATGTTTTCTTGGGTTTTGTCTTAGTTCATTGAGGCTGCTATGACAAAATACCAAAGACTAGGTGGCTTATAAGCAACAGTAATTTATTGTTTACAAGTTTGGAGCCTGGGAAGTCTGCGATCAGAGTGCAGCAGGGTGGCATTGTGAGGGCCAGCCCTTCTCGCTATGTCTACACATGGACAAAGGGTCTGGGAGATGTGGGGCCTTTTTTTTTTTTTTTTTTAAATCCTCACCTCATGTTTTTCATCTATTCTAGAGAGAGGAAGGAAGAGGGAGAGAGAAACAAACATCGATGTGAGAAACATCGGTCGGTTGCCTCCCATATGCACCCCAACTAGGGATTGAACCCACAATCTGGGTATCTACCCTGACTGGGAATCAAACCCGCAGCCCTTTGGTACATGAGATGACACTTCAACTGAGGCACACAGGCCGGGGCTGTGGGGTCTCTTTTGTAAGAGCACAAATCCTGTTCATGAGGAGCTTGCCTTCATGACCTAAACATCTTGAAAATGTTGGATTTGGATGTTGTCAGCAGTAGTGTGTTGCATGGAAAAAGTAGGGACTCTGGAGTCAGCCAGATTGGGTTTAAGTCCAGGCTGGGTCTCAGGTTCAGTTTCTGGTGAAGAGCAGGTTCCTGGATTACAGGTTCAATCCCGGCCTCGGTCAGGGCGAGTACGGGAGGCAACCAGTCTGTGTGTCTCTTTCACATTGATGTCTCTCTCTCTCCCTCTCTTTCTCCCTCCCCCACTTTCCACTCTCTCTGAAAATCAATGAAAAAAATATTCTTGGTGTGGATATTTAAAAATAAAACACTAATAAAATTATTTAAAAGAAAAAGTCAGGAAGCTAACAAGGTTAGCTTGTTAAGGTTAAGGTTAAATGAGATAGGTAAAATGTCTAGCGCAGTGCCTGGTATCTATTAGGCATTCAATAGATCGTAGCTGGTTTTATCAGTATAAAACTGTTAGTATAGCATATTATTACAGAATGCCACAGTTGTGCCCTGACATTTTCTAGTATCTTGCTTGATGATACAGTCCTGACAAAGGGGTCACATTTGTATCTAGCTGCTAATTTGCAAGAAATATAGAGGCAGAGGCACGTGTTGAAGTGCACCAGGAGCCTGCAGTCAGCAACATCCCAGCTTTGGGAAGTTCCAAACAGTAAGATAGAGAGATAGAGGAGCAATCCTGTAGAATAAGACTCAAAAGACTTTTCAAGGGTTGAAAATGGACAAGACCAAAATGTAATATCTACGAATAGACACTTAAGGGTAAATCCACCTTGGCACACCGGAAAGTGGTGCCTATAAAAGTGGGGGTGAGGGTTCCCTTTGGGAAGAGGAGGGGGTACAAGCGGTAACACCCACGGGCTTTTCCAGGGTGGTGACTGGTCAGTATTCACTAAACTACATGCTTGTGCAGTTTTTATTCTGCAGTAAAAAGGGAAAGTGAAGTTGTCTTTCACATCTGTTTGTGTGTGGGGGATGCAGAGCTGCAGCTAGTTATAGCTTGTAGGCTGCGGAGTTGCGGGCGGCCGCTGCCCCTCACGGTGATGGTGGTACAGAGGTGTGGGTTACGAGTTTCGGCTACTGTGTAAGTGGTGTGTTAGTTTTGAGTTATTACTAAATATTTATTGAAAGAGATGAAACTCCCCCCAGGAATTCTTGTCATATGTGTTGATTGAGAGTAGAAAACAAGCTGTATTTATTTTGTTGACTTGGAGATTGACAAATTTTATATTGTCTCTTTTTTTGTAGACGTAAAATTCATCCTGATCAGAAAAATATTAATGCTTATGTTGTATTTAAGGATGAGAGAGCTGCTGCTAAAGCATTGAACAGGTAATTTATCTCTTTGAGGTTTGACAGAATTAAGAATTTTTGAGTATTTTTAATAATTTGGTTTCACTTTAGAGCAAATATTTCAGTAACTCAGTGCTCCTTTTTTAACAGCCATTTTCCTTTCATATGTATAATACAGAAATGGGGCCCAAATCGCCGATGGATTCCGTATTAGAGTTGATCTTGCATCAGAGACCTCATCTGTAAGTAGTATGTGAGTTGTTTAAAGAACTTAACTAGAGCCCTAGCCAGGTTGGCTCAGTGGTTGGAGCAGTCCTGTACTGTAGAGTCCCGGGTTCGATTCTGGCCAAGGGCATATATCTCGGTTGCACGCTCAATCCCCGGCCCTGGTTGGGGCTTGTGCAGGAGGCAGCCCATCAATGTGTCTCTCTCACATCAGTGTTTCTCTCCCTCTCTCTCTCTCCCTTCCACTCTCTGATAAGCAATGGAAAAAGTATCCTTGAGTGAGGATTTAAAAGAAAAAGAAAAAGAACTTAACTAGCCTTGTAGACGGGAACGTTTTTTTCTGACATTTTGCTTGGAGAGGAGTGGAAGCAGCAGGATGAGGGAGTATCGAAGGGAACAGCCTTTGCCCTCTGGTCGCAGTGTTGGTCCCTAGAATGATGCAGGAATTAAGTATCATTAGCTTCAGGAACGTGGCCCCTCACTCCCACCATTAGTTGAAATAATTATAAAGAGTTAGGCTTAGGCTGGAAGATGTGTTAGAAATCATCTGGGCAAACGTCTTATTTTATAGATCGCAGTCTAGGAAGTTAAATTATGCATGAAATAGTTTTCGAGTCTACTCAGTGTCAGACATGCTGTGCTGAGATGGTCTCGGTTCCCTGGGAGTTCCCAGTGTAAAGGGGAAGGTGAGCGGACGGGCTGGCTGTGGCAGTACTGTTTATGATGAAGACTGTGGTAGGCGCACAGGAACGGGGTGTTTGACTTGGGGCAGTGCCAGCAAGAAGGGGCAAAGGAGGGTTTCTAGGAGAATGGGTATAATATCACTCTGGCAGGATGAGTCAGTGTTACCTGGGCAAAGGACAAGGATATTTGGGCAGGAAGAACAGTAGAAATAGCGGGGAGCAAAACTTAACTTGCTCAGGGATTGGTGCGAGCTAAGTAGTAGGTAGTGGGCAGAGTGTGCGGAGCGGCAGCGGTCAGAGTTGCTGTTGGACAAGTGTAAATGGGAAGTGAGGTGACCAGGTTTGCACTTTAAAAAGGCCTCTTGAAATGAAGGAAGGAAGGTTTGTAAGAGCTCACCACAGAAGCATAGAGGACATGGCTGGTGGTGTCAGTAACCTCGTTGAGAGATGACAGAGGTCTGGTTGACATCCCTGGCTGTGATTGTGGACCTAGCACACGGTCGGCAAACTGGCCTGAGGACCAGATCCACTTGCTGGCTGCTCTTTTTTTTTGTTTTTAATATCTTTATTGATTTCAGAGAGAGGAAGGGAGAGGGAGAGATAGAAACATCAGTGATGAGAGAGTCATTGATCGGCTGCTTCCTGCATGCCCCCGACTGGGGATCGAGCCCTCAACCTGGGCATGTGCCCTGACCGGAAATGGAACTACGATCTCCTGGATCCTAGGAGATCAACTGCTGAGCCACTCCAGGCCAGGCCTGGCTGCTCTTTTATTTATTATTTATTTATTTAAAATATATTTTATTGATTTTAGAGAGGAAGGGAGAGGGAGAAAGGGAGTTGAAACATCAATGATGAGAGAGTCATTGATCGGCTGCCTCCTGCACGCCCGACTGGGGATCGAGTCAGCAACCTGGGCATGTGCCCAGACCAGGAATGGAACCAAGATCTCCTGGATCAAAGGTCAACGCTGGACCGCTGAGCCACGCCTGCCAGACTGGCTGCTCTTTTAAATAAAGTTTTATTAGTACACAACCCACCCTTAGGTTAGGTGTTACTGTGCTACAGTGGCAGAAGTGAGGAGTACAACAGAGACCATGTGACCCAAAAGCCTGACGTGTTTGCCATCTGGCCCTTTACCCCCGATGTAGTGCACCTTTCCTAAGCACTGCCAGGTGTGGTCACTGAACAAAAGCCTACTCCCCCCTGCAGTCTCACTCCCATTCCAGTAGGGAAGACGGAAGAGAGAGACTCAAACAAGGGACTGGTGTGGTGGGCCCAGGAGAGGGACACCTGTCAAGTGTGGGGTGAAGGAAAGGCTGGGCTTTAGGATGACTCCGTTTCTGCTTCAGAGAGTGATTTCTCTGTCTTTGTGTTTCAGAGGGACAAGAGATCAGTGTTTGTGGGGAATCTCCCGTACAGTAAGTTTGTATACAAAGTACCTGTTTATTGTTAAATTAACAGAAATAACCATTGAGTAGTAACTGTTTTGCTTAAAGAGTAACTTTAAGAAGCGTGGAATGTAACCTAATTTTCATGAGGTTGTATAACTTGCTGTGTTATAAAAAAAATCTCTGCAGCTTCCACTTTGGTTGAATTTGTTTTCAGAAGTTGAAGACTCTGCGGTTGAGGACCACTTTTTGGACTGTGGGAACATCGTGGCAGTAAGGATTGTGAGAGACCAGCTGACGGGTGTCGGCAGAGGGTTTGGCTATGTGCTCTTCGAGGTAAGGGAGACTGATGTGTTGTCGCTCTTCTTTGAAATGCTCGGGGGGGGG